AAATATCGTCTTCGTAATTTGACCTATGTATTTGCACGCATATATGTTGTACTATGTATTATTTTAGTTGTTTATCATTTTGTAATTAGACGTGAATCTGGGACACGAGAAACAATACAACAAAATTTTCGCGGTTGCGCAAAATACTGTCGGCTATTTTCTGCCGCGCGGCAGAAGCGAACGCCGCACATTTTTCGCGCAACGGAAATGTTGCTTTATGTACGATCATAAAATGTCAAAAGCGCCGGTGGGTCATATCCATGCGTACGTACATACGACACGCCGGTTAAATTACCGGGAGCTTTTTGCCCGCGTAAAATGTGGTTAACAAACGGTGAAGGAGAGACGGCAGGAAATGCACCGATAACGTCACTCACATTGCGAGATAGCTGATACTAATATTAACATTTATGTGCGGTTGAATAGGTTTAAAAGTTGCATCGCGTAACAACGTCTTGTTGATAAACGTGAGATTTATGAAATCTTAAAAAAAATAGATACAGATATAAAAGTTTTATTTTTAAAATTTATCCGCCACGAATCTTATTTTTAACATTTTTTTTATTTCTGTATAATTATATATTTATATATTTTTTTTTCAAGATTCATGTTTATCAATGTTGCGTTAAATTTTGCAATAACGCGAAAAGAACGATTTCGCTGAAGTATTAAAAAATATTTTTATTGAATCATCAAAATAAATTGTATAGAACACTCAAGGTGATTCCTAGAATATCAACAGTTTTTTATATAATAGCACTATCATGTTTAAACGTTCCACATAATTATTTGGATGTCCAACGAAATTATTTTCAGATCTGTATCTAGCTACATTTTTTTATGCTCCAGCAAAATCGTTCTTTCCGTGCAGAAAAATAACATCAAAAATATAGAAACAAATTGATGGATACAATTTCACTGTAAAAATTGGAATAAAAGTGAAATTATATACAATTTTAAAAGGACTGTAGCATTATCTGTGGAATACTGGAAATAGGATACCGGCGGAATATCGTAAAAAGAGAACGAAGGCTTTTTCGATATTTTTGAGTTAAAATGGATCTCCCTTTAGTGTTCAGAGTTTACGGCACGAGGGCCTCGGTAATGGCAGGAATAACGCATCTGCAGACTTGCCACGAGAGAGAAAAAGAGAAAGAGAAAGAGAGAGAGAGAGAGAAAAAAAGAGAGGAGGAAGACGGCGCAATTCTACATCTACAACGATCCCGCTAAAAAGAAATAATGCATAGGGGCATGACCGCGTGAATAGTGTCGTACATTGGTAGATTGGAAGATTGTGCTTTAATCGCGTCGCTAACACACTCAGACCGTGCGAGTCCGAGCACAGCCGAGAAAAATCCCGGAAGCTATCACGTGCGAACAAGGAGAGTCTGCGAATCGTTCTACTTTATATCTGGAGGAAATAAAAAGACTCGCAAAAAATATATGTACTTCGTATGTATTTCGAAATCAAAATTCTAGCGGACAAATTTTATTTGGAGTTTTCTTAACATTAAAAATATGAAGTTTCTTATTCCCTATAAAAGGAATAAATAAATTACTATGAAAATAAAAAAGTGATAAAAAAATATAATACTTCATCGATACATAATTTAAAGAACATAATTTATTAAATTATTTTATCTAATAAATTGCATAAACAGGTAAATGGCTTCAGGTAAATGGCTAACAACGAGAAACACCGGTAATTAAAAAGAGGAAGGCTGAGGAATCAATGATTAATCTCATCACCCTGACTAAAAGCGTTATTTATCGGATTAAAGCCGTTTACACTGCTTGAAAGAAGATTGAGTTGATGGTGATGCTAACGACTTTAAACTGAGCGCCGAGGATTAACGCGAGCGTTAATTAATCGCGAAAAAATGCCGGACGAACGATGCCGAGCTGCAAATTGATTCCGATTCCGAAGCCAAAGTCTCGTTCTTCGTCTTCACATATTTTTTGCCGCGTCAGAGATCTTCAAGCAGACGCAGCCACTTGACATAGCTAACCATCGTCGTACATAAACATTCCAGTACAACGATAAAATTCCATTTACATGATCTTTCGAATATTTCCTCATCTTTTCTAAAAAAGTATTTTTCTTTCTTTTTGGAATAGTAAATTCAGTTGGACATACTGATGCATATTTATTAAAGTCGTGATACACCGATTTAATCTGTGTAAAAATCAAATGCAAATATTTCGAATTATAAAATACATTTTATTTAGCAGCACACTGAAAAAAAATGACTGAACGGATTAATTGGAAATGGACAAATTAGAATTTTCTGGTTAAATCTGCTAAAACTCTATTGGTTGAAATAATTGGAATTTTGATGATTGATATTGTATAATCAGAATTTTTGCAGTTCGTTCGTTTCAAATCAAATATTTTTCTCAGTATATAATAAAATGTACGAAGGCAATTTAATAAGTCAATAACTGTTTTAAATTTTTTTTACTGAAATTTGACTTATTTTTCAACATAGTCTCCTTTTAAAAAGTCACTGATTTATCAAACTGTCTCCGTATTGAGGACTTCACGTTTAATTCGTTTTTATATTTATATTGAACATTTCTAGTAAACATACGTCAATTTGTGTACGATGACTTTAATGCGCACTGAATCGAATTCGCTATAAGAAATATTTCTTTGCGTTCTCTATAATGAGTTTTCTACACTAAGTCATTACCTAAGATTTAAGTCTTAAGCCGTAAGAAATTGACCAATCGTAATCGCTTATTCTTCTCACATTCGACTATTATTGATTAATTTTTTATGGCTTAAGATCTAAAGTTTAGGTAATATTTTATTATAGAAAGCCCATAAAGGTTGCACCACAGACTTTTGCATAACGTATAAGGCACAATAGAATCAACCAATCAGAATCCTTCATTTCATATTCCGATTCTCTCTGAAAAGTCTGAATTACGGCCAGCTCCGTAAACCACTACGTTTGTATATTTTTGTTAAATCAAGTAACGTGGATTTTATATAAAATTGCTGCAACATTTTAATTTGCAATATTAATTAAACTTCACATCAGATTTCTCTTACTCAGATTTCTACTGTTTCTACCAATGTAAATTAACTATAATCTTGGTTTTCAACTTACTCTTTTTCTAATTCTTAGAACTAGAACATATAAATAAAGTTAGCTGAACCGAGATTAAAATTAAACTATATACAATATTTGCAGAAACGAGCACGTATCGTTAAAAGAGTGATTAATCTGTTACTTGTTGTTTACAGTTACAGTTCAAACAACTTGACGTTAAAATCAGGGATTCGTGTTTTTATAAATTTTCTTCTTATACTCTGTGCCATATATCTTTACTCGACAAAACGCGATAATTAGTGTGAGTCAGGTTTCCCCGTATCTCTCGTACGCGAAATGGAATTCTCCCATGTAATATAAACGCATTACCTACTACTTTAGCCTCTAATATAGCAAATCACCAGTATGTACACCAAAATTATCATTCGTCATCGTCGAAACATTGTCATAAAGGATTCTTCTTCCTTTTGAATCTACTGAATCCTACAGCCACGTAGCAACATTCGTGACATTCTAGATAAGGATGCTGAAAGTATTCGTCGTACATCGGAGGCGCGAAATCCGGGACCGACCCGGCTTTATCAAGCACGGACTTTACTACTCGCGCGCACGATCAATGCATGAATGAAGCACACGCAGAGACACCCACACGCGCACGCACGCCGCACGCACGCACACACATACAGGCACATCACCGCCGCCACCGCCGCCGGCGAGAGAGTCCGTTTGTGAGGTTCCTCGCAAACGTCATCCAAGCGAAATTGTCGCGAGCTGTCACGCGCCGCGCGATCTCGCGATCATTACGGGGGATTCCCGGCCGGACCGGCCGGATCGCGCCGTGGAATTTGACAGCTCCGAAGTGAAACGGCAAACGGAAGGAGAGGACGAGGACGGAAGGAGAGACGTATTCGCGCACGTTGTACAAGATAAAACGACTTACCGACGCCGTACTTGGTGGTTTTCGTCGTCGTCCACATTTCGAAGGCCGGACGGTGCGACGCCGACGACGTGGACCGGTGATAGCGATAGCTACATGCCAGGGTGGCGCGTCCGCTGCTGTCCGCTGCTAAGCGCGCGTCCTACTCACCTCGCGTGATAATTCGTCTGCGACGATTTTGATTATCACGAGGGGCACGAAAACACAAACATTAGGTGTGTTCGGCCGCACGAATATCGCACACTGCGCCGCGAGTCGCGACGACAGACGGCTGGCTGGCCGTAACGAATGGCGTTGTTGCCGGTACGAATAGCCGCGAATGCCGCGAGGCGAGCCGCGACTGACTGACGGCAACGCCGCCGCCGCCCTCCCCCCTCCTCTCGTCCCCTCCCCCCCCGCCATGCTAAGGCCGGCCGTCACTGCGCGTCACGTGGTATATGCGTCAGATGCACGGAGTAAAAAAGTAACTAGAGGCGCTAGCGACGTATTATTAAAGAAAATGCGTGACTGCTACAACTTTAATGGTTTTAGCTTGTAAACGTTAATTTTACGATTTATTATTAGAGGATGTATTACAGAATAAATGTATAGTAACGAATGCAAAAATTATACTTTGTTTCGTACGAAGCATTTATTTCGTTTAAAGGCGATTCAGAGAACACGAGTTCAAAACTAAAGACGTATCTTAAAGATTCTTTTTAATATCATTGCGTCTACAAGATTTTGTCAAAGAATGTCTCAACGTTTTGAAAATTATTTTAAAAATATAAACAACGCTATTTCATTACGATTATACTCTCGCGTGATACTGCGTTGATTATTCAAAATCTCGAATTGTTAAAATCGTAATTCTTGGAACTATCGATGGTGCAACCACTTTGCTGATTATATTCTTATGTACTGAAAAAATATAATATAACACTGAGGATTAAAAAAGTATTGGAGAAATACAAAACAGTAGTTTTTTTAAATTTTCGAAAATTGCAATTCCGGCGAACGTTTTCAAAATTAAGCGCCAAGTCCACCAATCAGATCGTTCCTCCCGATGCGAGTTGCGCGGAAACCCATAAAAATGTTATGGGAACGAGAGTTTCCCTTCTAGTTGTTCCATGGGATATCAGGTCACATCAGGTGGTCAAAAATCATTGAGAAACGGTTACCAACGGTCGCGATAGCGTTTCGATCCCTCAGGTTTAGAACAGGACTATCTTGGACGGGGCCCCAGGATTTACGACGATACAATTATTACCTATAGACGACAGGCTTCGCCAAGATGCGACCAGACTCGCGCAGCGTCTCGTTCACGTTTCACCGGGAGGTGCTAAGCGTGCGAAACTCGCCGGAGATGATGCGGAGCTCACGAAATCTGCGTCAGCGTCTGCAAGATCGATTCGAGAAAGATCGGGGATCGTCTAACAACGATGCGAAAGAGAAACCACAGAAGACAAAGGATTCGACCGACCGGCCCTGGAACAATATCAGTCTTGGCAACGTATCCGCGGATTCGAGACGAGCGTTACGAAACGGTGCCGAGAAACTGTCCAGGACAATATCCTCCGTGCGTACTACTTTTGGCACAATATCTCAGGTAAGATACATAAAAATTTATGAACAAATTGACAAGAAATGAATTTTACCTTTTTATGTTTCTTTTACCTTTTATGTTTCTTTTAATTGAACTGTCTAGATTTCAACAAATTTAAATTAATATCATCTTTTCATCTTTATTTAATATTTAATGATGATTCTAATTATTTGGTTCAATCAGAATTGATCCTATTGAAATTATAAAACAATTATTTTTATATTAATTAGCGTTAAATAATTTCATTATAAAGTAACAGAAATAAGAAGACATTTTAATGTCTATTAAAAATTTTAGTGTAAATGTCTAATGGCTTTCTACAATGAGCCATTACCTAAGTTTTTTAAATCTTAAGTTATAAGAAATTGATCAATCATAATCAAGAATATAAGAAGAATAATCGACTATAATTGGTCAATTTCTTACAGTTTAAGACTTTAAAGCTTAAATAATGGCTTAAAAATTAAATAATTATTGTAGAAAGATATATTATTAGATATATAAATTTAATGTATTATATTATAATATAACAAATATATAACATCAATAATATATTAGGTGTTGGAATTAATTCGAAATGATACTTAAAGAATTCTTTCCTATGTATAGAAATTTAAGAGTTCCACACGTAGACGTCAACGACTGGAGGAACAACAGTCTCCATCCAATATGCAGACACCTCAAACTCGTTCCCGTCAACTTTTAGGTCGCACACCGACTAAACTCTACAGTCCTTTTGGCATCGAATCACCGAGACATGCCTGGAATAAGGAGAATGAAATTAGCACGCCGGTACGTGCAGTACGTGCCTCATCGCCAGAGTGCAACATGCGTTATATACACTGTAGACCATTTCGCTTCACAAAAGTAAAAGGATTCTCCATGTTGAGATAAGAGAAGAGCCAGGAGCCTTCTCTTCAAAGTTACTGCATGTCGATCTCTCTTTCTTCCTAGCGAACGCAGCCAGGTTTGCGTGCCTTGTGTGCAACAACATTTATATATCGAGTATAATTTATTTATGTTCAGTCGCGAGCAACTCGCCGCAAGCGATGCGATTCCGTCATTGAGGCAGAAATGATGTTTTTTTTTTATACAAGTAGGATAGGACGAGACTGTTCCATCAGTTTCAATCCTGTGAGTTTTCTACAAGTCTTTATCTTTAAATCTTAAGTCATAAGAAATTGAACAACCATAATCAATTATTCACATTCTGTAACTAGTCAATTTCTTACGGCTTAAGATTAAAACCGAGATAATGGTTTACTGTAAAAAGCCATTAAAGTCAAGGTTCTTAAAGACTAATGTTTTTTTTTTTGACACACATTGTGTTTGTTTTTAAATATGTTTTTAATGCTTCAAATATGCAATTAAGCATGTTTTACACTTATTTGAAACATGCTTAAAACATGGTTTTTTACCAACCCTGATTAAAGTAATATAAAATTTACGGCAGCAAACAATACCTCTACAGTGACCTGCTCACAACTACTTTATACATTTATCTTACCTTAATCATGATTGCTTCTCGAAAGCACAAGATCTTTACATGTTCAAAAACACGAACACTATCGCAAGAAATGAATGGGAAAGCCTCGCTCTATCCTAATATTTATAGATATGTTAGAAGAGAAGAGAGTGTACCTTTCATAATATTTATATCATTCCATCGCTTTCTTCGCTTGCGTACATCGCAAACTCTTTCTACTTTTTTACACATATTTATATAAATATACATACATATATATATATATATATATATATATATAGTCAAACGCTGGAAGTTGAAGTAAAAAAAAACTTGTTTGCGCAAGCTCTATCAAAAGTTATATATATTAAATTTAAACTTTTGTATATGCGCGACGGGCAAGAAATAATTTCTTGTAAATTTTTACAATACTCAAAAATATATTTTAAGTTTACATCATAAACTGAGGATATTTCACAATTGTATTACATTGCGACGATTACTCGTTCGGGGATGGATAGGATAGTTTTTTTTTCTCCACACAAGATATAAAAAGTAAATTTTTTTAATGTTAGATTTTTTAATGCTAAATTATATGTATTTATTCTTCATTTATTCTCTCCTTTTCCCCAACGGAATTGTCGCAAAATATCTTTTAATTTGATATATATTTATGATATGTACATAATACAGCGAGTCTCAAAAATGATTGCTTTAATGATAAAAATAAGGCAGCTCCAAAACGGCCTCGATATAGCCCTGTTCTCAAGCTACGACATATCTAATCTTAATATTTATTGGCACTATAATAAAAAATTTTTATGAAGAATCCAACGCGTGTGATACCTTCGATTTGAGACCCTCTAGAGATACGTCTTTGCATTATCCTAACCTTCACGACATCATGGCGTCCAATTGCAGTGCATAATCTGCAGCACGAACAACGGTTGTCGGTGTTGTTCGTCGCGCCTTGTCGAGTTATCACGTTGTACATACATCTCTTCTTCGCTTTACGTGATCACAAAGGGACGCGAAAGTGCTCAATTTTTTTTATCGCGTCGGGATCTCTGCTCTTTCGTATCAATTGAATTTCATCCGCGAGCGTTTCGTGAACGAAGAGCCCACGAAAGATAACCTAATTACCCATAATCGTTCCCCGTTGCAATTTCACGGTTGTAGCCGTAATTTTTTTGATACAACAATACGATCCGATACAGCGGTGCGGTCCGAACGTATCGCTCGTGATAATTTTGGCGAATTTTCAGCCGAACAATTCGGCTCGTTCGCGATCGGATTGGTAAACGCGCGCTCGCGCGTGTAATTCTCGTCTGTGTTGTGTGGTTCACACGTTCACACGCGTGCGTGAGACTCGTGTGCGTGTTCCGTGGTGTGGAATGCGTCAGAGTGGCGGTCGACGAGCGACGTCGTGAAACCGTGAAACCGGCGGAGATCGTTCTCGCTGCGGCAAGTGCAAGGCAGTCGATACAGTCGATACAGTCGATACAATCGATACAGTCGATACTATGCGCCACGACGGATCGAGACACATAAATGCGCCCGGAATTGGAGCGCGGAGCAGCACGTGAAGTTCCAAGGGCGGTAAGTCGACACCGTTCTGTTTCTCTCCTCTTCCCTCCCTCTCTCCCTCTCCCTCACCCTCTCCCTCTCCCTCACACGCTCCACTAACGCTAGACGGAATTGGGTTGTCGCTACGTAAAATTTCGCCCGTTATTTCAGTGAAATTTGAAACTGTTGTAGCTTTGTTTAAACTCAATTTTATCGATCGAAATAAGTGCCGGGGAATGCGATACTCTTTTCCCAAAGTAAAGAACGCTGTATAAAACTATACAACTTAATTTCGCGTAACGTCACATTGATAACTTTGAAGTTTTCACAAGTTGGACGTAAAGTACCATTTCATAATTAATTACGAAAGGATTGTAATTAATTATTAATATCGTTGATGTACCGTTTCCAGCGAGAATGATTTTGTCGTACGATAAATTATTTTTCTTGTTGATTGACTTTAAGATAGAGAGATCCGAGATCTCGATGTTTTACAGCCAATTAACACGTTTGGAAAATTTGTATAACAAATATAGAGTCCATTTTCAAAACTACAATCATTTACGTAAATCTAGTGGATTTGATAGCTTTAAGCCCATTTCACAGTTAGTTAGCTTAATTGTGAGCTTAATTGTAAGTGGTTGCAAAAATTGACCAATTACAGTTGAATATGAAGATAACATTGGACTGTGGTTGATCGATTCTTAAGCCCATTCTACAATTGCATAAACATAGTTGTGGTTGTAGTTGTAAGAATTAACTAATCACAGTCAAATACGAGGAAAATATTCGACTCATTAATCAATTCTTATGGGTCTTTTACAAGTCATTAGCAATCAGGGAGTTGATTGAAGTATCTTGAAATGAGATGAAAATTACAAAAGTAAGCAAATTCACTAGTTATTGAGACCAATTAAACTATGAATATTCTAGAAATTGACCAATCATAATCGATTATTCTTCTTACATTAAACTATAATTGGTTAATTTTTAGCTTTTGTCTTCTAGTGATGTGTAACCTCGAAATGAGGTAAAAATGACAAAAGTAAGCAAATTCACCAGAATATTCATAATTTAATTGATCATTATCTACTGAATTTGTTTTTGTAATTTCCGAGATACGCGATCGACTCCCTGATTTATTACTAATAGCTTATTGTAAACGACCCATTACAATTACAACCACTTACACCTACGCTTACGCAAGAATGGGCTTCATACACTTGCTGAAAAGTATCCATAATCTTGCGAAGAATCACGAGGTTTCATAAGATCATCGGTTCTCTCGCGCTTAGAGAAATCGATTCGCGATCGTCGTTATGGAGGATTTACATATCTATTTTTAAATCGTATTACATAAATTGCACGTCTCGAACGTGAGGCTTACAACAATCGTGGGACGCGTCGCATAAAAAAATCACGCCGGCAATAAAAGTCCATCGCTCGTTGACATAGAGCGACCCTCAAATGTTTGCTTGTTTACTTTCATACATCCTCGTAACCGGCGTGGCGATTATCGTGGTCGTTCTAGTTCCGGATAGTTTTATATATCTCGCGCGTGACGACTGCGAACACAACGTCATCCCGAGTTGGAAACTTTGAACAGCGTTGTGAAATGCAGCGCGAAAGTAGAATCCAATTTCCTTTCGTATAGGCAGGCAGCCGGCAGAGTTTTGTCGTCGACGAGGCGAAACCGTCGCTCGTGGCAACCGAGCGTGCCAATTGCCATTATGACGTGACTTTCCGTCGCGCTCGTCATTTGCATTTTCCAATCACGCGGTATTTCGTTAGCCTGCACGTCGTCGCGTCGTCCAGAGTTACCGTCGGATAAAGGCGAGCGCACAATAAGCGGAAGACGTCGCAATCGGATCTCCTCTGCAAAGGTAATTCGATATAAAAGTTTACTCGACCGTGTACATCGTGTTTGGATTCGTGTATTGTGAGTCATTGTCAGAGCGTCTGACAGTTCGATGTTTGTTGTAAAGAAAAACGTGGTGTCGAAGAAAAAATTCATTCATGATGTTACTCTCAGTATATCGATGATTTTTCGGTCCTCTGTATTGAGTGTCTCAAGTTACTTTCGTTACTTTTACAAAAATTAAGTGATTCTTGCATATGTCTATAGAAATTGCAGTAAAACTTTTCTTCTTTCTTTCGCCAAATTTCAAGCCTATTTCATAAGCTATTTAATAAATTTCGTAATCTATTTCATACATTTGAAATTGATTTGAAATAAATTTTATTAAATTAATTTCATTATCTATTTAATAAATCGTTTAATATAGCTGTACGTTAATATAGCTATAAAAAACAAGACGACATTACTTAAACGAGGTGAAATTACAAAAGTGACCAAATTCGCTAGCTGTTGAAAATTATAAACATTCTAGTAAATTTTTTCATCTTGTAATTTTCATCTCATTTCGAAATACACAATCGATTTCCCAATGTTGTAATTAAATATTAGTACACAGAAAAAAAAAAATCTTAATTTCATAGAAATATCTCTTTGCTCTCGTATTAAAAAAAAAAATTATTTCTCTGGATCAATGAAAATTTCTTTGAAAATACAATATCTTATTTTCAAAGAAATTTTCATTGATCCGAAGAAATAATTTTGAATACGAGCAGAGATATTTTTTTGAAATTAAAATATATTTTTTTTTTCCAGTGTATTCTAATATTAGAAATGAAATACGCAAACATGAATTATCGTACGTTGGAGATTAAATTAATGAGTGAAGATGCGATCGGTCGTTTCCCGATAAGAATGAGAACTTATTTGCACACATGTTTTATATGCGGGCCTCGACCGTTAAAACGCGATCGTGTAAAACGACCTTGCGGTTTGAAACAAAATACGTGAGGCAAACAAGAAACGATCGCATAAGCGAAACGACGGTACGTCCCTCCATTCGTAACAAGGAGAGGATCGTGGTATCCTTCATGTTTTCTTCGTTACCGAACGACAACGTAATGTTCGCCATCTCGTCCTGGGAGGCCGCATTGAGGTACATCTTTGGTAGTCGCTCTTTTTCCGGAAACGAAGAAGGTTCGACGACCTCGGACTTTTTTTGCGGTATTAGTGTAAGGTTTAACGGTGAGGTAAGCTCAGTGATATCTGGATGAGAAAAACGAGATATATTGAGAATTTAAATTATGCAAAATATATAAATCTTTCGATTTACGGAAACGTTAGAAGAGTCCGTCGCGAAGCTCTGGTATTACATCAAAGGTAACAAAGACACTCGAGTGTCTTTCTGGAAAGACACGCGCGAGGTTTACTTTCTGCGTCTAATTAATAATTAATAACCGAGTTCGTCGACACCTCGCGAAAGCTCGACGGCGAGTCATCGTAGCGATTTCACGCGTTTCGCAGCGTTGAAATATTTCTATATTTTCCAAAACGGATGGCAAAGATTGACGAGGATCGAGTATTCCTGGCGAAGGGATACGTCACGTGCGAGCAATTAGCATTTTATCGCGATCGACGTATGATCGACGTGTTTCCATATTTCACGACCTGTTTAACATCGGCGTCTCGTCTACAAGACGATCGATCTTCTCATTCAACTTGCATGGAGACTTGCATGCGATTACCGTGAAAAGTGTTGCGGTATCCCATGTCTCGTGACTGCCTCTCCCTCCCCCTTCCCTCCCCTCCCCTTCTTCCCCTGGAAAAAAATATTTTTACGATGTTTTTGCGGACTCGCTAATGGCCGTGGCGTCATCGGAAAGACGCTCGTTCCAGAAGCGACATGAACGTTTTTAATGTCGACCCAATTTCGTGAGATTGTCCGGTGTAGTAATAAATTGGCAGACGATTCGAGAATCAGGGGAAACGCGCCAAAATTCTCAACGCCCAATTATAGGTCTGTTTTCTGTGGCTGAACTAGTGTCACACTTTTGGAACTTGAAGCGAGATAGGTACGTGTTTGATATTTGTCGAAAGCGAGAAAAAGAGTTCCAGTGCGGTCACAGAAAAACGGATCATATATTTCGTCCATCGAGATGCAGACCGAAGTGCATTTTTATAGCGATATACTCGTCTGGAGAATATTCTTCTTTTTCATCTTCTGAAAATAATTTGGCGAGTCATAAGAACATTCAAGGCTAATACAATGTGCTCTTTGTGCTTCCATTTCTTGCTTTTTACTAGAATTCTGTTGTGTATTACATTTACCTTTACCCTGAAATATTTATGTATTGTTTATTTAATTTACACGAATATTTTCATGTAGACAATGTAAAACAAATTATCATAAATTGGATAATATTAGGTGTTGGAATTAATTCGTAGCGTTTTACAAGTGATGGGAAGTACTTTCATTAATGTATTTTTTAATGCTCATGTGAAATAAATAACATTCTTTCATTAAAAAACGCTACGAATTAATTCCAACACTTAATACAACAAAGAAAGGTACAATTAATTTATGATGGTTAATATGTCTGACTTTAATATTTCGCTGAATAAAAATATATAAACGAGATAGAAGTTTTATGTCATCCGGTGCAACAACAAAGAACATAAACATAACCTCGGATAATCCAGAGATTGTTTACTACGAAATAAATGATGTTTTATCAAGAGCATTATTTTGATTGAAAATAACCTTGTTGATTTAATAACAGTATTGAAACAAATAACATTTTATTAAACAAGAGCTCGTATTTATGAAAATTGTTTTCAATTAAAATAATGCAGTTGATGTAATGTTTTTTTTTTTTCCCCCAGTATAGATAGCACGTAAAACATAGTTTACATACTTCACATTATGGACGTAAATGTAGATTATTATTTTACACATAATTTTGCACAATCTTATTTTCTCTTGCTTTTTTTTCTCCTCTTCGCGACCGTTTTATCGTGTCTCTTGTCATGTGTTTCTTATCTCTTCTAAAGTTCGTCAACTTTTATCTCGGGCGATGGAAAACGAAGAAACAGAATAACAGAGCAAAGGACAAAAGGTAAAAAGTGATGAAGAGTAAGAAACAGAAAGCAAAGGGCACGTTGCAGATTAACCTTTATGCGTCAGTCAGTGAGGAAAACTCGAGATGCAAGTAGATAAACTTCTGATTAAACGTAAATAAAAATAACTTGAGAATAGTTTAGAAACTGACGTATCGCACGAGTCGATAGATAAAAACGAGATCGCTGTCACTAAAGTGCGAGAAATTGTATTTCCATTTATCGTGACGCATATAGGCCAGAACGCAGACTTTTGCATAACGCATGAAACATAAGAATCAACCGATCAGAGATCTCCATTTCATGGAAAGGAAGGACTGATTGATCAATTCTCTTATGTATCTATGCTCCGATCTTGTATCCGTTTTTCGAGCGTCATCAAAAAGAAAGGAAAGAGAAAAATTGACAAGAAAGATACTCGCTCAAACTTAAGATCACGTAAACGGGGAGATTTTTTCTTACTGTTGTGGCCCGAAGGGCACAAATATTAGCTTTCAGTTTGAATGTAACAAGTCTAATATTTATGCCCGAAAACGCTCGCAATTATTATGAATGTGAAAACGATATCGCTCTTGTAGAAATTTAATACTAGTACTGGCCAATTAATTACTTATTTTAAGTATTAAAAATATTGTTATAGCAGTAGTATTTTTAATACCGAAAATCAGTGATTAATTGGCCAATATTAGTATTACATTTTTATAAGAGCGGTATCGTGTTTCATCGGTCAAGATGCTTTATACGTTACGTTACAATACTTATTACGTTTTTAAAATAAATGTGGGATGTATTTAGGACAGTATTTACATGTATTTAAAATACTTATTTAAATACATTTTGTATTTTGCATTTAAATACTTTTTTTTTAATATTTTGTATTTTAAATTTGTAAATACTAAATACATTTAAATTATGTAAAATTTTTTTTGATGGAAGTTAAAATCGCATCATTGTTGATTCAACCTAAAACCATTTCACATGATGCATCATTTATCCTTGTTTACATTTGGTGAACAACAAGGATAAATGATGCATCATGCACATCGTACGTGAAATGAAACGCACCTCTAGCTTTGTATCTTAGCCAGGGATGGGCAGTATTTGAAATACATGTATTTAAAATACGTATTCAAATGTATTTTTTTTTATCGAGAGTATTTTGTATCTCGCACCCAGAGAAAAGGGTTTCCTCGATTTAAAGAAATGTTTCTTTGCTATACGAAAAAATTTCTCCGATTTAAACATTATTTTTTTCAATCAAATAAATTTTATTTGATTTAAAAAAATAATGTTTAAATCAAAGAAATTTTTTCCACAAATAAATCAAAGACATCTTTTCTTTAACTGTATAGCAAAGAAACGTTTCCTTAAATCGAAGAAATCTTTTCTCTGCGTATTTGAATACAATTTTTTAAGTATCTTACCCCCACCTCCTGGGTGTATTGGTGTGCATGCAGTGCATGCAGTGCGGGAGTAGACGAGTGACCGAATTCGCTATTTAGGCGGGACCCGCGCTGTGCGTCGCGCATCGCTCACCGCGCACGTCGCGTTCCGTCACGCGGCGCAGCAGAGTTGGAGCAGAGTTGGAGCAGAGCATAGTAGTCGGGTAGTGGGGCGGCGTGCCGCGAGAGGGTGTCGCGCGAGACTTGTAAGAGCGAGAGACAGGTCAGGGCTGGGGCTCAGTCAGTGCGCTCGCGTGCGGTGTGTCAGTCGTGCTGCATTCGCCAATCTTCTTTTGCTGCCGCGCGCGCGCGCTGCACTCTCCTTCTTTTTTTTTCTTCTTCTCCTCCTCCCCTCTTCCTCTCTCCCTCTCTCTCTCTTTCTCTCTCTCTCTTTCTCCACTGTGCCGCGCCGCACCGCGCCGGAGGAAGTCACGCGTTCTGCCGAGCGCGGCCGCTGAGTTCCCGGGCGCCGCTGGACTGGAGTCGGGACTGTCGGGAGTCCGTCCGGCGGAGCGGAGCGGAGCGCAACGAGCGCGCGTTCGCGAGTGACGGATTACGTCGGTTAGGTGCACGCAGCACGGATAGTAACGCGACGGACGCGATGCTGACAGTACGCGCGCTTACATAATTATCCACCGTCGTCGGTGCGCATTAGCGGCGCGTAAAGCGACGCGAAAGAGAGAAGAGGAAGAGAGAGAGAGAGAGAGAAAGAGAGCGGTTCGCTCGCGCTCTTCTTCGATTTTACTCCGTTCCGTGATCACTCGGGTACGTATACCGACACACGTAAGAATCGTATCATACGTGATACACACACATACACACATACACTGAAACCGACCCTTCCTTTCTTCTCCGTCGCCTCTCCGCTTCCTTTATCCAGCACCGTTCTCTCGCTTCCTTCTCCCACCTCGCGAGACGCCTATGCACCTATATCTCTTTCTCTCTTTCCGCTCCGTTCCCGTCCCTCTCCTCCCTACACTCTGATAGCTTGGTCGATTCACGAATCCGCCGGGGCCCTCGGATAGCTCGCGCTCTTTCCCGGGCCTCTTCAAAATAAGGCCAAAAGGTTACGTTACGTTCCTCGCGAACTTGGAAAATTCCGCCTCCCTTCCCTTTCCTTCTCCTCCACGCCCTTCGATCCCTGCTCGCTCTTCCTCTTCTCCCCCCCGTCCTTCCTCTCTACCTTACTCGTCCTAGTTGTAGTCGTGTTTTTATTGTTTTCTCCGTTCGCTTTTGTTGACGACGAAAGGAGGACATCGTCGCGACATCGTCGTCGTCATTGAAACGATGACGACGATGATGACGATCACAATTGCTTCGTAAACATAAGCGAGTAGTACGCGGAAATTTATTTTCTCCGTTTCGTCCGCGCGTGTTTCTCAGGCCTCGAGGCGTGAATGAACGAACGCGCGTGACTCCCTGTCTCTCGTCGACGTACGAATTCCCGCCAGGCGCGGGGAAGGGGTGAGAGGAGGGAGGGGGTGGAGGGGCACTCAATGAAATTCGATATCGCTAGACTCGTACGGGTACTCGCGATGAACAAAGTAAATCGCGTTACTTTCGAAATCGTCTCGATCCTTTGCCGATCGCGTTTGGTGGAGCTACTACCCCTTCTTACACGAGACATGTAAAAATCAGACTCAAATTAAATAGATGCGTTTAAAGCTGCATTGACACGTAAATGATTGTGTAAACTGAGTTTTACATTAGTATAAGAAAAGAAAATCTAAAGTTCGCGAGGCGATATTTCTATAATATTTAATTTTGTTGTCCATGCAAAGCATTTATTTTTTTTTTTTAACGATATTCGTTACTTATGCTTGCCTACTTTGATTTTCGCCTGCCATCTGATTCTGTTTTTGTCCTTACTTGCCTTTGTTTGTTTGTTTCTCACACACAGGTCTGGCATCAATACATATATTGCACATTTATTTTCTATTTATTTTGAGACTGCTTAGAGAGAAAGCGAGAGAAAGCGAGAGAGAGAGAGAGAGAAAGATGAGAGCATTCGAGGGCGCAGACTGGCCTACGAGCGTAGCGGCGTTGTCGTACGGGGAAGACGTAGTAATGAATTTGTTTATATTTTTTGTATTTGCCGATGATCCTCCCGTCGATGGTCGTTTCGCTGGACGGTACCAGTTGGAGTATACAACAGCAATCGCAACACCAACTGCTGGTGGTGGACTCGGTCGCGCAGCAGCAACAGCAACCGCAACAGATCGTCGCGTTGAATCAGATCGTCGCATCAAATCAGATTTCATCATCGGGAGGTGATCCGCAGCAACAGTGCCACAAAATGACTGACCAGCGAGATCAGCAGCAGCAGCAACAGCCGCAGTCCCAGTTTCAACAACAGCAGCAACAACAACAGATCAAAGGCAATGAGGAACCAAGAACGAATTTGATTATTAATTACCTTCCGCAAAACATGAATGAGAAGGAGCTGTACAGTTTATTTGTCACTATTGGTCCGGTCGAATCCTGTCGAGTCATGAAGGATTATAAGGCAAGCCATATACTTTCTATTTGAGATCTCGTATAAATGATTTTTATAAATTAATTTTACGTTTCATTTTTCAGACTGGATACAGCTACGGCTTTGGTTTTGTCAACTATGCGAAAGCTGAGGACGCGGCGACGGCGATAAGCACATTAAATGGTCTTCAAGTGCAAAATAAACGTCTGAAGGTCTCGTTCGCTCGGCCTTCTGGAGAAGAAATTAAAGAAACCAATCTTTACGTTACGAATTTACCAAGGTAATTATTTTTCTTGTTTGGATTTTCGTCTTTCGACGCAAGGATTATACATATAATTTACATTTACCTAGTCATACTTCTTGTTTCTTTCACAATAGAATTTTTTTTCCTTATTTATATTTCCTTATATTTGAGATAGTTTCAAGATCAAGAATTGAATACGGAAATATTATGTTTAAAGACACAATTTATTTTTACAGAAATATAACGGAAAGCCAAATCGATGAACTCTTCAGTAAATACGGCAATATTGTGCAGAAGAATATATTGAGGGATAAACTGACCGGTTTACCGAGAGGAGTAGCGTTTGTTAGGTAGATAATTATTTTTTTATCATATCCGATTTTCCCTCCTTTTAAATATTAATAAAAAGTTTACGTTTATAAGTACCGTATTTATGAGAAAGAGAGACGGTAACTAGTTTATTTAACAAATATGTCGATTTATGACACTTGCACATTTTCGTCGAGTATAAATAACGCATCGGTATTGAAGATTGGAACAAATTCAAAACAGCTGCTCGCGACAATCATACTATATCGTTACACAACGACGGTCGTGCATATATTCGTATACGCGTACTTATTTTGCGATAGTTTCCTGCCAAAGTATTTTTGTGTACAGCTCCTGGTTTTAGTTGCACAATTCTGATATGCTCCCTTTAGTTTGGCCCAGATAACTGCAAAACGTGAATAAAACTAGAGATAGCAGAATTGTGGAAAATAGGTTGTTGGAAATAGTTATTGCAATCTATGCCAACAGCTGGGAATCTTGCTAAAATGCTTGGTTATCCTATTTCGATTTTATTAAACTTAAAAATAAATAACAGAAATTTGTACTGTGTAAAATATGTTTGAGATCATTAAGAATTTCTCACTTTAACTTACACACTTCAAATTATTATTGCCTTTCTCTGGTAATGAGGTATACATTTTATACATTCACGATTGTTTTATCTAAAACTTGATTGAACTCAAAATTGCTTTTTAATTTGTTCCGATATAGATTCGATAAGAGGGAGGAAGCTCAGGAGGCTATCGCACGACTTCACGGTACAATACCGGAGGGTGGATCCGAGCCGCTTAGCGTAAAAATCGCGGAGGAACACGGCAAACAAAAAGCGGCGTATTATGCGGGCTGGCAGGCGGGATACAATCAAAGCCGCGGTAAGTAATTTTATATCTTGCGAGACCGCTGCATTACTAGATTTTATCTTATAGCTTGGCAGTGGTAATCGATAAATTAAGCGCGAATTTCTTATGCGCGATTGTTCTCGTTGGAATTCAGAGCTCTCTCTTGAACAAGTAAAAACAGAATTAGCACTGCCTGGTGAAGCTTGCATTTTTTGGCTTCGAACACTTCTAAAAAATATATATATATAAATAATTTGCATCTCTATTACGATTGTTGTAATATGCCTAGTCTATATAGGAGAGCACTAGTTGAAACTCGATGTTTATTACAATTATTTCGTTTGATCGAAAGATTATTATATATATATATATATATATATATATATATATCATACTATTTGCCTGATATATGTCAAACACGATTTTTTTGATCGAGCGTATATTCGTTTTTCTCGTATCTCGATACATTTCTCAGATTTGCTAATGTAGATCATTTTTATATGGCGCAATGTGCTTCTTGCCGCGACACACGTTACTATCCTGTATTTTTGAGATGCCTTGCATCACACATTAACATATTTTCCTCTGTCTCGGATAAAGATCTTGAATTTTATCGCGTGCATATCAGCGTAGACAGACGAATACGGTTGACTCTGTAGCATAGATTGCTATTTATAGATACAATGTATTTTTTTTCTTTTTTTTTCCTTATGTCATACTGTTTGTCTAACGTTGAAATGTTTTGTCAGATAAAATGGCTGCATCTAAATCAGACCACCACGACTTAACGCATTAAGCACCTTTTGTATACACAGAGAACCGAAAGGGTGTTTATATTCTGACACGTTATACACACGACTGCACGTTAAAAACGCGGAGAGATCTCTTCGCATCGAATGATTGGAGACACGGTTTCCCGCGTTTCTTTACTTCTTTATACGTCTTCGTTTCTTCTTTTATTTCTGCTTTTTCAAAGCGCATGATTCGAAATATAAGAGAAAAAAAAAGTCTCGCTCGGTTTCCGAGCAAAAATGAAAGGAAAAAAAAAAAGAGAAAAAACAAAGCCACTTAAAGGGCTCTTCTGTATATATGATTGAGCGGGCAAGAATGCAGTGTTTGTGATAGAAGAGTCTTGTGTGTGATCTGATGACGAGAGGTACGCGTGGTGCAATTATGTACACGAGACACGGCTAGTCAGTAACACGCGCGGCATTTGCGATATATAAACACCTTACACACCGGGAGACACTCTATTGCCGCACAGAAAAAAAAAAGGAAAAAGAAATAAAATGCCGTTGATAGAAACTTTCAGTTTGGATGCTGGCTAGTTGGATCAATTATTTACGATTCGCTATCTTCTGTTATTTTTTTCTAGCTCTGCTGCTATTGTTCGTTTTTTTTGCTTGATACTTTGTTGTTAAAAGTACTACCGTTGCCCATGTACAATATTATATCGAGCACACAGTAGCTTCGCATCCGCCGATATTAAACATGTTCCATATGGCTGATGCTGTTTGTGCTTTAGCGCGACTAAGGCGTTGTTTAAGTTTCTGTATAATACAATTTTGTTATATATATATGTATATATATATAAAATATATATTTTGTTTTCACAAACATGTGTATGTTCTGTCTTCCACTGGTAATTCTATTCCAGTCCTGTTTAATTTTAAGCGAATCCAAAGCAAGTTAGGCGATTTGTAAATTACATATTGTCAACCGTTCGATTGTTATGTTTTAGCTGTTTGAAGGAAAATGGAATTATTTAATACTTCTTTCTTAAAATAAATACGAATATTTTAAGTTGAAGATTAATTTCCCAATTAGTTCGTTCAGATATTAATAATTCGTTAAAAAAAAAAAGAGGATATGAAAGCTCGCTCATGAAAATACGATTTGTATCTAGCGATTTGGCTGTGATTGATTGCGATTTTATGCTTTAGTAAACAATCCAAGTGCATGATGCTGTGTCCTTATCGAGCCGTTGTAACGCGCAAAAATGGAATTTATATGAAAGACCTAATCAATGACGTTTTCATTTCTATGCATGCCTCTTGACTCATGAAGGAGAGCGTCTGTACTCGACGAGGAATAAATATCAGCGCTATGCTCATTATCTATACTGAAAAGCGACAAGTGTTGTTGTTATTGTTGTCGCCGCCTTGTCGTTGAACGTTCCGAATGTCATGTATACGCACACGCGACCGTCCTTGCAGTTGTAATCAAACGAAGGCTTCGCGACTTCAATTCACAGAATTGGGATTATAGACGTAAACCTACTCGCAATGTGTTCCATCAATGTGATTTGTAATCGTGCGAGGAACGTTCTCTGCTTGGCGGTATCCAAACGGTCTTAGATAGCAAATTGTTTGTTAATTGTGTAAATTGCGCTCGCCGAATCGTTTATTATAAATTGCGTTAATTCTACGTTATGTTGTATCTCGTTTTATGCAATTAGGAATTACGTAATTTCCAAAAGTTTAAGTTGATTTTAGCGTTTAAGTTGGCGTTGGCAAAAATATCGAAGAACATCGAGTGTATTCCAACAGAAGTGTGATGTGTAAATTTACAAGACAAACACAGACAAACACAGACGAGGAGTAAACTGTAGTAGGACTATTTCTTAGTCTCGTCTTGGAAAGACTCGATTGATTTTGTATATTAGCGGATTGAAAATATTATATTTACATTAGAGAAGATTTATTAAAGTTTCATAAATGATTTTTAAATTAAATCTAGGCCAACAATCTTGGCGTTTGTATTCGTAAGGCAAGAAATTTGAAGAGAGATGTGATTCTATTTAATAGAAAATCGTAATTTCTTGATATAACTTGGGCTGCAATTATATCGAGACAATTATACACCAAATACCGCAATATGATTTTTGCTCAAAATAAATGACAATTATTCAACGAGTCTAAGGCTGGATTGTTTCCACTTTTCGGTAAACTTCAGCTCACTATCTTACTCTCTTACTTTTGTTTATCCAGTAGGTAAATTACCACATAGTTTATCCAAAGATGAAACAACCGGCCCTAACAATTGCAACGATATATTATCTGTTTCATAATTTTAAATCTATGCGGCTTTTGTTATTTCCAAACATCACGGTAGAATTGTTACCGTGCACTGCGAAGGTTGATTAATTATTAGGTGTTGGAATTAATTCGTAGCGTTTTACAAGTGATGGGAAGTACTTTCATTAATGTATTTTTTAATGCTCATGTGAAATAAATAACATTCTTTCATTAAAAAACGCTACGAATTAATTCCAACACCTAATAATACGTAATTTGAATAGATTTTGACAGCGCGTTTTTTTAAATATCCTTTTTGGATTAGAGATACAGCGATCCTTCGTAAGATGTTACACGTAATACATACAAGAATAATCAAGCGAGATTGATCTTGATGATTTAGAAAATAACAAAATCCGAGAATAAACTTCTCAATTGTCTGCTATTTAGATAGTATTAATTCTCAACATAAAATAACATGTGCGGCAGACTTTGTAGTTATAGCCACTACAGTCTAGTAAAATTTGCAGATCAAATGAATAATTAATAAACATCGTTTCTTCTAGTAGGGATCAATATCTTTCTAAAATTTAGTCAAAAAAATATCACACACATATGCTTCCTCAAGCTGAGGATGAGCATCCGACTATGTTCTCGGTGGCAGTCTCGAATGGAAAAAGCGAAATGAAACGTACATTTAAGACAGTACAACAGTTGATTTTTTTTTTAGCTATAATACATGTCTCAAATTTTGAAGATGATTTTTAAGCACAGAGAAAAGACGTAGAAACAGATTAAAATAAAAAAATTAATTTGGTGTATTTCCGAAAAAATTCTTTCTCAAAGACAGCTTTTCTGTTGTATGTTTTTATCTTGATAAAATTAACTTGGAAATGGAAACAAAATTCTAATCTGTATATATAAGATTAGAGAGACGAAGTATTTGTTAGAGTCGGACAAGACAAAAGTTGTGAAAAGATATTAAGATCGATGTTGAAGAGTTGATTTTTATAGCACTTGGAGCGCACTTATCGATACTTTAATATATCAGTTACCAGATGCAAACGAATATCAATGTATGAAGCTCGGCCTTCCATTTGATTGTATTGGTCTGTGATGCGTTGCGAAGAGTCATGCTACCGAATACATTTGGCGGTATCAATAATTAGCTAATTAACAATACACAATATTGAGAGATAGACGAGTTATCGCTCGATTTTTGTAGGATAGAACCTTGCATCGTTTCGCGGTCTCTTTAATGATTCTCGCTGTTAGACTCTTTCGTCTCTCTTGAATCTTAAACGACGCTTTAAACGATTGACCCGGCGATGAGAGAGCCGGAGAGAGGTGGATCCTGAGAGCTAGAAGTAACATGTATGTCCTTCGACCCTGACAATCGTCCATCCTCCGTGGATTTATCGCAATCTTATCAGTTGCGTGCGACAGAAAGAAATGAAATGCGATTACATTTGGAACATAACAACAGTACGGGTAATTTTTCTCGTTCGAAATTCTGTAATTGCGCGAGATTCCTTAATAATAATAATAATGCAACCATTTGTCGCCGCGAAACGATATAAAATAAGATGTCTTTACTACAATAAGAATATCGATATACAGCCTTTGATAGTAATACTTATAAAATGTGTTATTATTTCAATATCGTATGTTAAATAGTCTAAGTTATTTGGTCAATGATTGCAAAAATAGCATCAAAGATAACTGCCTAAAGATGATTTCGTCGAAAATGCTATTCACAATCAGATAATTCCTATAATTTTCAATGCTTTATGCTGCGATTATTTGTTCCACGTGTCTGATCACACTTCATTTTCTTCTGTCTTGTCGTAGATCGCGTTTGCGAAAGATCAGTTTCCATCCCTAACTGGCGTCTACTTATATACGATAATTATAAAATTAATTACATAATAATCGCGGAATAATCTTTTCTCAGAGGATTTCGAGAAGACCGCATAAAAACATCTCTCAAATCTTGATTGATTGAATCATACCTGGTGGTGGACATGCTAATTAGGAAGTTAATAGAGAGGAATGTATAAACGCTTGAAGATCGCCGATGACATTACCAGTTAGGGATTGAAATCCCAATCACGTAACGCGATTGAGGACACGATCCACCTTGCTCAACGTAAGATACTTAGATGCTGCTTCGCGTAAGGGCGAGCGATGTCGGAACTTTTAGGAATTTAATATTGCGAATGCGCCGGCATTTGACCCGCTTCGGTTACTGACCGATCGATCGTCGGAGAGCTGCGAGCTTCGATGGACTACATTTTTAAACGCCAATCCGCGTTCACGGATAGTTTATACGCCGAATGTCATGTAGAAAGAAGAAAAAGCATTCATCAACTTCATTGTTTTGATACTTTTTATTTTCTCTTTGATACCTTTTTTTACATAGTTTGATTTTTGTCGAAGCTTCGTTTAAAACATGAGCGTGTTGGCGCTTTCCTTTTCTCTTTCTCTCTATTTAAATATTTGAAACATTTGATTGTTAATATTTATTATTAAAAATCTCCACATGATTTGAATGATCTTCGACGATCGATTGGTTGATGAACCGATACGCAATATGTTGCACAGCACGATTGCTGCTAGAGGATAAGAAGATTAATTAAACGTTGGAAACTTCATTTCAATAAGGTAGATAGATTAATATAAGGCATCTTTCCATGCGCCATGAGAGAAACTTCCATCGTTTAGGGATAATCCGATTGGCGAAAGTATTGTGATATTATTTAATTCGAGTAAAAAAAATCTATCGACGAATGTAAAAATTAAATATACAAATTAAACGCCGATGTATAGATAATTATTTAATATCAAACATGAAGGATTAGCAACTAAATAATTTCTAATTTACGCAAGCATCAATAAAATTTATATCTATTATTGTAATGTTAGAATCGATTCTGTCTTTCATTTTTTTTTTTTTTTTTGCGACTGGATGTCCGAAATGCGAGCTCGACTTGGCGTCTAATCGAAAGATGCAATTGTAATTAGGTTAAATTTTAACTGTTAAGTAGTAAATTGTAAGGTCTAACGGATCGAAGAATGTGCGAAATGGTTAATCCCGAAGTCCAGTAGTGCTAACGATGGCTGTGATAAGGATAAGGAAATACTAACGAGAATTGCAAAAAGAAAAAATATACTGACGAAACAAATGGATTAGTAGCGAAGCTTCTCTTCCTCTCTTTCGATCTAATTTTTAATGCCGATATATTAATTTCGATATAGTATTAGCCGTGTACGATATACCGATAGATATAATTACGTCCGAAAAGTAACAGCAAACTGATACATCGAAAAAAACAGCTTCTTCATAGCGTCGTACTTTAGTTGCACAATATTGATTATGGCTAAGTAAATAATGGCTTAGTAAACAATACGCGGGGTGTTTATAAAATTGTCGCATTTGTCTTGGTTAAAAAATAATGAATTTATAAAGAATTTCCTCATGGATTTCAACATACGGTAAAGTTACTTACCCGAAGTAATCCTAATTCATAAATTTTGGCTGTTTAGTGCCGAATATAATACTACAGTTAGTTTTTAGTAAATTGCATATTTTTTAATATTTCAAATTACAAGATACTGACGGAAGAAAAATGCGACAATTTGGGAACACTCAAAAATTTTAGAGAGGAAAAAAATTCGGCTTCTTCGGCCTCGTTTGAGAACACTCGCGACATTCTCGATGATATATTCATCATATTTTTCTCTTGTTCGTTATGACATAAAAATACATATATAGTCTACGGAAACTCTGAATTAGCGAAAGTTATCGTCGTTAGGCGAGTCTAGTATCTCGTTATAACATCAGTGTTTACAACAATGCGATATACACGTACACACAGCGATTAAGTATATACATACATAAATACATAGAAACACGCAACTACGACACAGTATAGTTACAGATCAATGTTCGTATCTCGTTGTACGGATATTTGTATTTAAACGTATTGAACATTAAATGTGAATTATTGTATCAACCGCCGCTTTTTGTGCTGATGATGTATAATCGATAGATCCCTCGCGTGACGTTGAATCGAATTTAAGCGCATCCAGACACTCTCTCGACGAATCCAGTTTTGCGAAAGAGTGAAAAAAAATAAACTATATCACACACGCACACACACAGAAATAATGGCTCTCTGTGATACTTTTGTACAAATTCGTTTCCCGCGGGGATTACGCTAATTAAAATTAAGTGTTGAAAATCAGAGATCGCAGGCATTGTGCGCGAATGTCTTTTTTCGCTTATCTCCGATCTCGATGGAGTTTTTTTTATGCCCTCGACAATCGGAGTTGAAGTACGACGAAGTTTCCTTCGCGAAAAAGCAAATCATCAGGACAAAAAGTAACGCTCTGGAGGACTGACGTTTCAAAAGTGAAAATAGGAAAAGAAACACGTCGTTAATGATCCTCCGGAGACCTTCTAATCGATATCTTACATCTTTCCTATTCTCGTTGCCGCAATCGCAAGTTTCCTCACCGCGGTCGCTCATTAAATTTGATTAAAATATTAGAAACCGACATATATCCAGTCTAAGTCATTCACACTACCTTCTTTTTTTTTTTTTTAAATACGCTTCTCCTTCGCCTCTCTAACATCCCCCGAAAAATTGAAAGTCAAATATAAAAACCGTTTCATGGAAAAATTTATTTATCCTAAATATATTAAAATACATTTAATTTATGTATAAGCAAATTTAATTAATTAAAAAATAATGGAATATCTTTATTCCATTTAAAATGGCGTTAAAAAAAAAAGATGGAGGAGGAGGAACGTCGATATCGAGACTCGCGTTTCGAGAACAGCTTTAACTATCCCCTTTTATCTTAGGCATTCTCAATTTTCCAGGAGGGAGCGGACTCGGAGTCGGCGGTGGCGGCAGCGGACGGGCTCGGGGCATCGGGGGTCCTGGAATGGGCATGGGTGTTGGCGGCGGTGGTCCGGGAATGTTGAGCCGGGCTGGTGGTTTTGGGCCGCGTGGTGGTGGGCCCCATAGCGGCAGCTCGACGACGACAATGACGATTACGATAACGATAACAATGACGATGACGGTGACAATGATAACCGTAATGAAGATACGCTTACATTCGCTGCAACATTGATCGCTGGCTGAAACCCTCTCTATTCATCTCGTTCGAAATAAAGTTCGCGAGTTTGATCGCTCGTAGCATAGCCGAGAGCTGGAGATAGATCAGATAGAACCAGGTTAGACCGGTTTCCTATTTACAAGATGATATTGCACGAGAAGATAGCTCGGTGTTAATCAATGTCTATAAAAATTTTATGAATGGAGAAAAGTTAAAAATATTACGTTTTGAAAAAAATGTTTTATCGTTTGTTAATGCATGTTATTGAAGAAAGTTGTTTAGCATGAAAGTTACTGTGCATATTTTATTATTAGGTGCGCAACTAAGTTCTCGCTGTTATTTTGATGAAAATGCATCAAAATAACAGCGAGAACTTAGTTGCGCATCTAATAGTAATAATATTTTTATCGATATTAGTATTAAGAACGAGCTATATCTTCGTGGGCCATTTTGTATAACCGCGAAAAAACTGGATAGAGGAGCCGAAATGATGATGCTCGAGATGTCATGCATCATTAATCTATTCAATTTCATCAACTGCACGCGTTGGATCTATTCAAAAACAATTCCGATCGAAATTGACTTTCTATTTGATTACAAGATACAGTTCGAAAATCTTTATCATTTCGGATACTAGCCATAACAGGATAACCGAGAAAGAATTGAACTTCGATAGGAATCGTTTTCGAATAAATTCTTGTTATCTCTGGCAGGTGTCCTGCTATCCGTTCAGCTGTCTACCTGGTTTTATTCTTTTTATCCAGTGCACGATCGTGAAGCTCTTCAGGAGATTTATATTGTCTAACACTACAAATTATAACAGCCTTTTTTTCTAACAATACGTCGGAATTTAATGTGTATTTATTATAAATCACATAAAATCTGTTTCCTTTTCCACTCCAAATTCTGAACTGATGTGCACTGATTCAATAAATTAGAATGAGACAGATATAGTTGTTTCATTTTAATTTATTGTACTACTAGTTAAAAATTCTTCGAAAAAGAACAACACACATAGACCTATACATTATGCACAAGTAAAGTTAAATAAAACGCGATATGCACCGAATCAATATCAATCTCACAATATTAAATTCAACCTGTTTTAACATTCTAATTGGTCAAACGTTTCTCTAGCTTCACGATCGCTCGAACGTTCGTTCCAATTCGTTCCAGTCAGTGGTCAGTTAATATAATTATGCAATATGATATAAAGTTTAAAAATAATGTACCTCAATGATAAATTTATGACCACGAGGTATTGAAGGGATCAGAAGGATCTGTTATGCAAAAAAAAAAATAAGAATTCTGTGTTGTAAATTTTATTTTTTTTTTTTTTATAGTTCTAACTCTTGAGACTTTACAAGACATTTAATTGTAAGACAGAATTTTATCATAGGTCGAATTTGGGGGGAAGTTTTAAGACACGCGACAACGTTTTCCCTTCGACGCGGCGCTGGATATCGGTGGTATCCTGCGGCGAAAATTGTACATTTGTGAGATACAATTTTTTCCCCTTTTTTTTTTTTTTTTTTTTAATCAAATAGGGCGCATGAAACAAAAAGATTCTTTCGGGAAAATCCAATATCTGCAAAAAAATGTAAATAATTATAACCGCAATATAATAATATTATATATAATTATATATTATGCAATTATGTATAATCAAATATAATAATGAAAGATTTCGTGTATGAAAAATTTCATATATGGAAGGGGGCGCCAAAATAAAAATTTGACAGCATTTTATTAATTAGTACTGTATTAAATTATAATTTTTATGTCGTGTTTAAAAATGTTTTTTTAATTCTCAAATTCGTTTCTCGTTAGTCGTTTTTATTTGGGTATTGGATCTTCCGAAAAGGCATGTTTATAATTATGATCTACGATCGAATTCCAAATCATTCTAGTTTGTCATGAGACCGAGAATGGATGATCCGAACGTGTGTCGTTAATTTAGATTAAGAGAATTTTAAACAAGTGCCGCGTGGAAGAACAGGGTGTGAATGTAATTTATTTTAATATTTGAGAGCAGTATTAGAACGAGATCGCGTATTCTTTCGCAGTCCTATGGACACACCTTCGGCACACGTTGCATGATGTATTTAATTTCATCCGACGCTTCGGTAGCGTTTTACGAGATTCGTAAATAATGTTGCTGAAGAGAGAGAGAGAGAGAGAGAGAGAGAGAGAGAGAGTGTGAGTGAGTGAGAAAAATATCACATAGAAAAATACATGAAAAAAGATATTTATGTAAAGCCGTAAACTACTTGGAATAAATACCATTAGCAACTATATATTTAGCTTTTGTTAATTTCGTTAAGTAAATATTTCGAATTTCTATTCATTAATGTCATTTTTATTAATATTTTGTATATATACATACGGAGAGTCGAATATCAAAATTTTAAGTCGCGTGTACTTAAGGTCTGTTGATTAGCGTAGAAGCTTAGCGCCGGTGAATCTCGAGGAGCGTTCAATTTTGAACAATTGATCACCATCGTTATCCTCGCCGCAAATGGTGTACATAGACCTCTAGAGAGACTAAGACACTATCGCGACCTTATAGACGATGAGACTGACTTTTTATAAGGGACAGATTTTAAGCGAAGTACGTCAAAGTCGCATGTCATATTTTTAGATAAAAAGGAAAAAAGGGAGAAATAGCGAGCTGTACTTGCCCAGAACCTGCGTTGCAGGTTCCAAGGACAGCGCATTAATTGTTTATTACAAAAATCTGTGATTTGTACAAAGAGGAGTGAACGAGAAGTATATCGGTCATCTTAGAGAGATGAAAAGGAAAAGGATCGTTATTTTACGTCCAAGTGAAACGATAAAATCTGAAGCAATAAAGATACAGAAGTAGAACCGATCACTCTATTGTTGGATTAAGTTAACGTTATATTTTATAGAATAATGTGCAGAATCTTAATTTGATAATTATCCATTCTTATAAAAAAAAAATCGTTTAATTAAATCACATAGTTGCTTTTATATTTATAGACATAATTTAGTAATGTTTTTAAAGTTACCTGAATATAATTATTATAACTATTATTATTAACCTTATTCTACTATTACCATATCATTTTATCATCAGCATTAAAGCTAGGCAATATATAACTATACAAATCGATCTGCAGGTTAAGTAGCATAATTTATTTATCACTTTAATACAGCTATCATTCTACAATGTATGTATAAATCGTCAAGACTCGTGTAATTACAGAAAATAATCACACGCAAGAATTGAATAGCGAAATAAAGCGATATACTTGATTTAATGAATTGAACAAGATATAACTAATTCAGTTAAATCGTGTGAACGATAACTGACATTCGTTGCAAATTTGAAGCAACATACACATTTCCACAAATGTAATAAGCTCGTGCATAAGAAAAGATCGTAATAAATATCGAGATACTAATATTAACAAGGAATAATTATTAACACATTTACATGAATTGTGATGTCGCACCAATGGATGTGTACCAAAAAGTTGAATAAATTGCTGTCCGCTACGAAGAAGATTTCTTATAACGATATTTTTTACAAAACTTACCGTAAAAATACGACCTGATTGAAAGGTATTGTGATTAATTTAGGTTCGTATCTCTGAGGGGAAGATTGCAGGAGTGTTGAAGCATTTGAAAAATATTTTATTAATTATATTTTATTAATAATATGTAATCAATCACGCATCACAATACAAATCTTTGTGTTTCATCTGATATTAATTCAGTGAAAAAGATACATGTTGTGTTTTACAGAGAAAAACAAAAAATTATCGAATGCTTTTGATACGTTAGAGTGTTTCTGCAATTAAATTTTCCTATAATATACGTTTCATGTAGGTTTCATCGTTGAGTATGCCCGATCACAGTGTTGCCCTTCAAAAGGCAGCTTGCATAAAAAAAGAAGCAAAGTGCCCGATGACGAGCCGCAACGTAATCGCACGTTTGATTAATATCTTCACTGCCGACACTGTTTTGCGCTGTAAATGTAACTGACTTTACTAATCATAGTTTATATCATATATTATATAATAGACGATATTTATTCGCGTTCCACTTACATATTAAATGGAAATACTGAAATTACAAACCATATTAGCGATTACAAGATAGTATCTTTTTTTCCCCCCGTTGATGTTTATCTGATTATATTTCATTCTCATAAGAATAACTTTTATTTTTAATATTCCGCAAATGACACTCTTGTTATATTTATAATTTACTTCATGATCGAATATTATCTTTCAACCAGCAGATGATTAATTTATATGATTTCTTTAATTTGTACACGAATTTAATTTATTCTAACTCTACAGTGCCTTGTACTTTTCACTGTTACATTATGTGGAGCGCACTTCGATTAACATTATTGTCAACGTGATACGCGTTTAGATACATGTTTGAAGCAACGAGTTGCGAGCAGTGGAAGGCGCACTTTCAGACTGATGATTTCCAAGTTCGACTCGGGGAACTTTATAACGCAAACGATTCCACCCACAGGATGCTGCGGCCTAGAGATTAGCCGGCAAGCTTGTGAAAAGAGGAAACAGGAAAGGGGCGGTTAGACCAAGATACGTAAGTTTATCCTGAAGAGCAACTACACATTCTTTTCTTCACATGATATTCGTTAAAAAATAAAATATGCGCATATTTTTTTAAATAATCTTGACGATAATAATTAATTTTTTTACGTTCAGTCACATTAGAAAGACTTACTCTCTTCTTCTAATATCTGCAATACTAAAAAAGTGTAATTAATAATTCTTTGATATCGATTTGATAATTGCATTTTTCAAAGTGTAATACCGAAAAAGGAAACAAAAAGAAGTGGTTTAATATCCGCAACTTCAAAAGAATAAATATCACGTTTGTACAAATTTAATGTAATGTCTTTTTTAAATAATTTTATTTTTATTTAAACGATTCCAAAAATTATTTTGGAAAACAATATATTTATATATATATATTTTTTTTTTCGAAATTATTTAAAAAAGATATTTGTGAGAAGGAAAATTTCGTTTTTTGATATATTATCAGACTTAACAGATTTAAAAATTCTGGGAAATATCAAGATGAAATATTTCACCGATCGATTTTTAACGGCCGCAGCATGGATTCGTCATTCAACCTTTGACCTACACTAGCGTCTTTTTTGTACACTTCTCAACCGTCGATCCCCATTGAACGAACGAAAGTTCTCCCCAGGAGACACAGCGAGATGTTTTATACAAATTGCACGCATCTGTCCCGCGTGTGTTTGAAAGCACACAAATCGGTCTCGGTGATCATAGAGTTTGTAGGTAAAATTATTTATACCTCGGTTTATTAAACTTGTAAAAATTTTCTTTATGTTCCTTGATTTCCCAGCTTTCTGTTATTAAATACCGTCATACCTTAAATACCGTTAGAATTATTAATTGTGCTGTAAGAAACTTTCAAGAATAACAACAAGCTGGCCGCAAACTTTTTCCCAAGTGAAGTTGATAGAAGAAATTTTTATCGCACACATTATACGTTTTATATATTTCAATTGTTACGCGTTGTGGAAAATAAAAGAAAAATAGAACGTTCTAGAAACTCGATCTTAATTTTAAATAATAATAGAAGGATGAAAAGGTTTTGCGGAGAAGAGATGTAACGCGTGTATGTAAGAAGTTTTCGTATTTTATTTCGCGGAATTATGACTTAAACTATTATTATCTTTGAATACAGACGTAATGACGGATGCTAAGAAATAATACGATAAATGAAATTCTAAGAAAAATCGAACGAATTGAAATTAATCGTAATCTTGATTAAAGAATTAAGACCAAGTTTCTAGAACGCTCTATTTATGCCAAAGCTGTTCTTGACGTTGAATTTACCATTATAATTTCTGATTAAACCGATAAGGGTCGAAGTGCGGGGAGAGAGAGAGAGAGAGAGAGAGAGAGAGAGAAAGAGAGGAAATCGCAGTCGGAGCGCATTGTTGGAGTGACTCATCACCCGCGCGTTTCAGTTTATTTTCCTCGCAGTCGAATCAACACAAGTCCCGATGACACGACGTGGTTTTGAGTAACATTTTTTTAATACTCGTTTACCATCACGATAAACTGCCGTTCAATTTATAATTTATTCACACGCGGCGATCACGCGTACGCAACATATTTTCGATTCGCAATACTGAGTCTCTAGCGTGATTAAGACGTTAAAATTTCTCTTTGTATTAAATGCACAATACAAGTACATACGTCAACTAAAAATTATGAAAAAATTTAAGGAAGATAATCACAAAAATAAAAATACTATCCGTGTATTCTTTACAAAGGAAAGTTCAGGGTTACAAAATTAGGAAGAAAATTCTCGAACGTTTATAACATCGTCCCAAGCACTTGATCGAGGATTTCATGCGTTACTTACACGCGACACCCAGTACGTGAAATGTGCGTCCCGCGGGAGGAAGATACTCGTTTCCGCCCGACGTGATACCGGCGGATACTCGCGGGGAATCACGGCCGCAATATTTTTTCCCTTCCCAACAATGATAATAATACAGTATGTTACATATCGCAATATACTTTTCGTTCCACGGCGACTGTCCCTCACATTCGCGACCTGGCAACCATCGCACGCGGCATCTCGAGAACGACTGATTGCAAGCGGAATCCGCACGAGCGGAACGCGCGCGAGCGGAAAGGGAACTGCCGCTCGGGAAGAAGAGAGAATGAGAGAATGAGAGAAAAAGAGCGAGAGAAAACGGGCACACGTGGTGCCTGTGGACAGACCCGGGAACTTTCATTGGGTCCCCCTTTCTTCAAGGGGTCCGGGATCTTTTTTCAACTTTGTAAATTGCAACATGCGAGGTCGCATACCAGACCCCCGAAATACAATAGAATCTCGAGGTAAAATGTACCGAAATTGGGAATGAAAAATAAAGTTTGCAATTTTTACTTGGATTTATTGCATATTATATAATCGTATAATTCTAAAAAAAATTTTAGAATTTGTTTTAACATAACAAAAAAGTGATAAAACGATTTTTATTAACACTACTGCATTGTATTTCTAGAATTTTTATTTCGAATTTTACGTACGCTTTATAAACTTAACGAAAAGTAATTTTCTTAAATGGCGTTTCTTATTTTTAAAGATTAAATGACGTCATATTTTATAAATAAAGAATTAATACATGTTTATATCTGGAATTAAGGCAAGTGGAACGAAGAAAAAAATTGTTTAGATTTAAAAATTAATTAGTTACAAATATATACGTACATTATATAGGTATACGTACGTTTAGATTATCATTATAATTATTTGTGTTACATAAATGTATACGCGTGTGGAAATAAATGCATTCATGAAAAGGTCCTTGAAAGAAAAAGTCCGAAGACGAAATTTTCATAAAGGCAAGAATTCTCGCTCTTAAAAGGGATCGAAGTAAGGTCAAAGAGCACTGTCCTATAACACGAGGGGACACGATGGAATTTGCATTTCCTGTCTACGATGAATAATTCTGGGCCAGCCGTGCCGGTTGCGCACACTTTCGAATTAGGCCCCCGCGTACACTCAAAATTAGGCCCAAAAAATATCAAAGCCCGTTATGTCGCTTTAGAACCCTTTATTCGAGCCCATCTATAAAATTTACTTACAGACTTTCTGATAAAAATCAAATGTGACATTTGTTCCAAAAAGAGAGAATCCGATTCTGAAATTAACTTCACAGATAACATGTGCGCCTCTTTTTCTCTTTTCAAAATAGAACAAATTATTCCATTCTTTTTATCGAATATTTAAGTGTGTGTAATTATATTTTAGAATTATTATAAAATTGGAGGCAGTATAAAATTTCTCTTTTACCCAAGAAATTTACATTTGTACATTCACATGTGTTTGAGGAATATTCGAAAAAACTCGAGCGAATTCCTCTACAAACTAAAAACTACAATGAGCTTTTCAGAGAGAACCTTCGTTTTATCAGACGGATGAAAACCTGAGATCGAAGGGTGGTTGAGGGTAAAGATGTAAGAAACAGTGGCCGAAGAAAGGGAGGGACATACTTATAGAAACAGCTGTTCGTCGACTGGGTTATTGACCGTGCGCACCTACACAGGGGGAATTTTCACAGCGGACCCTTTCACAAACCTTTCTCAGGTACATGAAATACGTGTTGCACTCGGTTCGTTTGAACCGTCCCCTGATGACTCATACAGAACACAATGCCTGTCACACACAAAGAAGCAGCGGTCCCATTGCTGACCTCCGGAAACTATTATAAGTAACACATTTACGCTTCTAAACGTTTCAGAAGTTTTCTACTTGTAATCAAACAGACAAAAATTTGCCTTGCTCATTTTACTTATTTTTTTCTTCTATTCTAACGGATCTAAAAAATTTATGAAAACTTTTTTTCATTTATACAATTATCGTTAATTTTCTTCTCCCTCGTCTTTCTGATTTATTTTGTTAAACAGATAAAAAATTATTTGTCTGTAAATAGATTTTAAAAAGTAACCAATAAAAGTGGAATTAATAAATAACTAATAAAGAAGAAATAATTTAAAATTAATTTCTCATTAATCTAATACTCTAATTATTACGAAATCTGATTCTTGAAATATTTTGACTTGTCTTTAAAAAATCACTCGAACCGTTTTCTTCCAGATAATCTCCAGTTTCGTGTCCAAAATGCCATGAATGATCGTTTGCGATTGGTCGTTCGGAGAGACAAGGTCGAGCAAGATGAAACGCTACAGGAACGCGAAGTCTACTCGCAATGCGTGGAGCACACACTTGTGTGTTCTGAGACAAAAAAATCACGCAACATCTGGAACTTCAGGATAGAAGGCGATCCGCTGTAAAAACTATTTGTACACCCCGTACGCGTGGGAGCGAGATCCACGATCTCCCTTCGTTAACTCGTAAAGGTCCCATTTCGTTCTCTCGTTTCGTTGCCTTGAAACGTGTTTTCCCACGTCGAGCGATTTTTCTTTTCGATGATTGCAACAAGATGTAAGAATGGTCATGTAAAATGACTAAATACATCACGTCTATCATGAGATTTTTTTTTATTTTATAAAAATTGAAGCAAATAAGCTTAATTATTGTTTAAAGAAAGACGATCATTTGTTTTTGGTTAATAAAGACAGAAAAAAACAGTTATAGAAATAACAAATTTATTTGTATAAATTAAATAAAAGAAAGAATCTTATTTTTAGTTAAAGCGGATGCTGATGCCTGATAATTTATTTATATATAAATTTGTATATGAATATTAAACATTCAGCATCCGCTTGAATTGAAAATAGGATTCTTTTTCTTATTTGATTTAATCTTATCGGTCTTTTAACTTATAGATTTATTTGTATAAATAATATATGCAGTATGTAAAGAGGAAACGAGTAAATATGGCGCGCGAATGTATATTAATTTGTTTATCTTTAAACGTAAGACTCGTTCAGTTTTATTAAAGAAAGTTTCTAAGACCTAGATAAAACATCACATACGACGATGTGCGTCAATACATTCTAAATTCCTTACAGTAAAATCTCACTCCAAGAGAGTGAAAATACAATCACCTTTGAAAACAAATGACATTTTTCACTCTCTCTCTCTCTCTCTCTCTTGGAGTGAGATTTCAATGTAAGAAATTTAGAGTGTACATATCTATATGATACCATATATTACAATGTTCTCGGATAACGATCGTTAGTACTCGACGGTGACCGTCTTCGTCTTGAGATATTCGTTAAGAGCCTCCTGTCCCAAATCCTTGCCGAATCCAGACATCTTGAAGCCGCCGAACGGTGCTGCTACATCCGTCTTGTTGTACGTGTTGATGAATACTGTCCCAGCCTCGATTTTCTCCGCAAATCTGAGCGCCCTGCTGATGTCCTTGGTAAGAACCCCCGAGGCCAGACCAAATTCGGTGTTGTTCGCCCGCGCGATCATCTGATCGATGTTCTTCGAGCTGAACTTGGAGATCACCATTACTGGACCAAAGGATTCTTCCTTGGCAATGTACATGTTGTCCTCGACGTCCGTGAATACGGTCGGTTCAAAGTACCAACCGGGACGATTCAACCTTTTGCCGCCGTAGACCAACTTCGCGCCCTCTTCGACTCCGCTCTGCACGAACTCGAGGAGTTTGTCCAGATGAGCCTTGTGATTCTGTGGCCCGTGAGCCGTGCTTCTGTCTAGCGGATTACCGATGGTAATCTTCTTTATCTCGTCGACCACACGTCTCACGAACTCGTCATGGATAGTCTCCTCGACAAAAAGTCGTCCTTTGGGACGAAAAAAAAATTAATAATAGACAATTTATATAATTATATTTGAAGATTAAATCCTATAATCTTTTATATTAAGGAGTGTATACTTTTGAGATATTTAACTTTATGCTATCTATTGTATAATTATTTAAAAAGCTGTTTATTTTGCTTGGACTCCAAAATAAAAGAAATATAAGAAGTAATCTCTTACCAGCGGCAATGCAATTTTCTCCTTTATTGAAGAACACACTGCCCATGCCGATCCTGACCGCTTGTTGCATGTCTGCGTCTTCGAAGATGACGAGGGGACTTTTACCACCAAGCTCCAATGACACTTTCTTCAAATTACTGTCGGCGCAACATTTCATGATGGTTTGACCGATCTGCGTGGAGCCGGTGAAGCCCAGCTTTCTGATCAACGGATGCTCCACTATAACGTTTCCGACGGCACTGCCGACTCCGCAGACGATATTAATGACACCGGATGGAATTCCAGCACGTGCGGACAATTCGGCGAATTTCAAGGCTGTTAGAGGTGATGCCTGGGCCGGTTTCATTACCACGGTGTTGCCGGCCGCTAGACAGGCCGCCATCTTCCACGACAGCATCATCAGCGGGTAGTTCCACGGAGTGACCAGGCCACAAACGCCGATCGGTTCACGCCGTGTGAACGTAAGATTCCGGTTCGGACGGGCATGCGAGATGGGTATGGTTGAACCTTGAATCTTGTCGCACCAGCCAGCGAAGTAGCGCCATGTCTCGATAGACATGCCTACGTGGGTTTTCAGAGCGAGAGTATAGACCGCGCCAGAGTCCAAAGTCTCCAGAGTAGCCAGTTCTTCCTTGTGTTCCTCCATTAAATCCGCCAATCTAGAAGACAATAGAAGACAATAGAAGAAACGTGAAGAATTGGAAATAAATGTTTATTCGAACGGGATGATTGTCTCTTACTTGAACAATAAAGCTCCACGCTCCCTGGCGCTAATTTTGCCCCATTCACCCTCCTCAAAGGCTTTTTTCGCGGCCCTGACGGCTCGATCGACATCCTCGGCATTTCCACTTTCTACCGAGCAAATTACGCTTTCATCGTGAGGATTTATCGTGTTGACAGGATTACCGTGGCCGTTAACGAACTCGCCGTTGATAAAGAGTTGCCTGGGAAATCTCAGAATCATGTTGTTCACCTGTATCTCCACCGCGTCGTACTTGATCTCCTTTGCGGCTAAATTTCCTCGAGCGGTGAGTATAACCGTCGTGGCGAATTCCTTGAAGACCGGTGCCATGAAGACGTCGATGTTCTGCAGACTAACGCCGAAATTGTCTTTGACTTCCTCGACTAGTCGTACCACGTCCATGCTGCCTCCACCTGCGACAAAAATTTTGTAAGATCAATTCAAGCTTCTTGTCACGTATAATTAATTTATTACAAAATAATGGCAATAGCGAAGAAAAAATCAAAATTAACATTTATTACGCAATATATAAATCTTCAACTTGTTAACATAATAATTGTGTATTTAACTGATTATTCAATGAATAAAAATTTATATTGAAATTCAAACATATAAATTAAATTTGGCATTTATAAAAAATCTTTAAGCTTACCGGAAGCAAAGAAATCTGTATCTTCGTCGACATCGATTTTAAGTATATCTGTCCAAATTTGACGCAGGCTGTTAGTGATATTTAACTCTTTTTCCGTAAACTCCACAACCTGGCTATCGTTAACCTGCCCATATTTGCTGGCATGAATGGTCTTGGTACCGGTTTTGATTCTCTCCACGTTAACGAATTGTCCGTCAACAGCTTCGATCAGCAAACCTCTCTGATGAACGATTCCTTTTCGCTCCTCGAGATTGACTGTCTTCTCGACTTCTGGTTGCTTATCGCTCCACAAAGATGATCCGAAGAGTCGCACTTCCTCGCCATCCAGCGTCGTCCAAGCTCCCGGTGTACTGTCCAGACCACGAATAAAATCGTGAAGTTCCTTCGCCGGCTTTGTCCAGTCGATCTTCTGAAGTTCTTTCTTGTTCAGCAAAGGATCGTAAGTCGCACCCTCCTCTGATTGTGGCACCTTAGGCGCAGTTCCCTTGGCGACGAGGTTCACGGCATCACCCATGGCCTTGATACCCTCCGGATAAAGAAAATTATTGTACAAACTGTCCACCGTATCATTCGGCTCCACTTTGCACGATTTTTGGAGGAGAATTGGCCCGGTATCCAAGCCATCGTCTGCCCAGAAAATCGAGAATCCTGCGGTTTTATCTCCTTGAATCAAAGTCCTGAAACGCGAGATAGATTAGTTCAAAATAAGAAAGCAAAAATAATTGATTATGGTATTATTATATATAATTTTATTTTTTCAATCCCTCTGTCTGCTTTTGCTAATTTAGATTAACTTTAATTCAGTTCAACTTTGATTCTTCACTCAAGCAGAATAACAAGTCACGATAACGTCAAAATGATATTAAAATGAATCGAAAATGATTGAAAAATGACTTTTAATGATCATTTCGAAGTCATTTTGACGTTATAACGACTTATTGTTCTGCTTGGGCATCTTTTTCTAATTCTTAGAACTAGAAAAAAGATGAACAGTTAGTTGAACTGTGATTAAAATAATGGCATTAGAAGGAACTGCAACTTTAGTTTATTTGGCGAATAAACAAGAAAAATTAGGTACGAGAAAATAACGCCGAAAATGTATATCATCGATTCATAGGTCAAAGTATAATAAAATGCGCGGATACGTGTACATGCGCAGTTCGAGGGGATCATATGGCGAGCTCGTGGTCTCTTATCGTTATCATTATCGTCGGCGCGTTTCCAGCGAGAAAGTAGTTTCGCCTCATAATCTGGAGCACGAAAACGGCGAACCGGTTGTTGTGGCGCGCCGATATCGACAGACATGATATCGCGACCGACTGACTTGTCAACTCTAGCCAAATCTAAAAATAAACAATTAACTATAGATGTACGTATTAACATAATCCTTCAAAGATACGGACATTGTGTACTATTCGACTTTTCTAAAATAAATTATTTTATTTCGCATCATTCGCGATACTCGTGGCTCATTCGAAGATAGCAGATGACGAGGATTTTTTGTTACAGTCTTAATCAATGTGGAGTCGAATAACTAATTGTAATTCCGAAATATAAAATTCGTTATTTAACTATAATTTTATGTCTTCGTGATGACTCTGCGTTTTCTTTAAATTAATTGCGCGCGAAGTTTTCACTCTTACGAGATCAAAAATGTTTCCTTGTAGGTCTTTCTATAAAAATATTTTTGCATCCTCGATCTCTGGAAAATTTCCAAGAGAATCAAAGACACGCGGTGATCGAAGTGAGAAGAACTCACCAGCTTATAGCACTCGCGCCTCTGTGCCTGGGTAATAAAGACGGATGATAACATATGCTTCGGTGACGAGGATGATTAATGACTTCCATGGGGATGTACTGACTGCAGAAGGGAAGGACATTGAGATCCACCTCAATGCCCTTGTATATCTCCATGATTTCCGGCAAAATCATTCCCTTGCTCCTCCAAGCCTTGATTTTGAAGACCGGCGTGTTATCAGCCTTGGCAGTAGTAGCTGCGATCGAATGGCAGTGATAAGGCGAAATATAAGGGACCATTCATTGAATATTCGAAATTCTTCGGATTTTTTTTTATTTTCATAATCAAAGATCTCGAAGAAACAACCAATGAATAATCCTGATATATATATATATATATATATAAATCGAGAAGATTCGTAGTACGATTAATAATTTTAATTTTAAAGCTCTAATACCTAAAGGATCCTCACGGTTTCCCTTATCTGGAATCGTAAACACTCCGGTCACCTGATGTCCATTCTGTCGTAAAAGTTTA